TTTATTTTTCATATTCTTCGTTAAACTGGTTAACACTATTGTTAGGAGGACTTTCATTTCGTATGAAAGTCTCACCAGATGAGGACAAATAAATCTCGTCATACTGCAGCCGTTTGGCTTTTATAGGATATTCATGTTGACGCAGTCCACGAGACTTCCTACCTTGTTTCGGCGGAAAACGTGCTGAGCTTTCGTCCATCATATGATGGTCATCATCATAGCTGAGTGTCATTCTTGTAAGAGTCTCACGTTAACACTAGGGCAAGAATACTATCCTGTAGTATAACGAGATTTATCCGTCCTCATCTGGTGAGATCGACCAATTAATCTCTTCTTCATTCGCTTTAATAAGAAATGAAAGTCCCCTTAACAATGTTATCTCAAAACCTAGTTTCTCATGGTTAATACTAGTTCAACGTTCGGGTTATCATGCCATATATTTGCAGAACTGAGTATAGCTCAGACTCATCAGAGCTAAGTTCTTGAAATCTAGACTTTCTTAAAAGAAAATTTATCTCGTGAAAACTTCAATCCCCATTTCAGTGGGAGTACCCCAAAATAAAAAAGTAAAAATTTAATCATTAAGACGATTTCGACTTGTATGTAACGCAAGAGGTTAATTATTTTACTTAAACTTTCCCTAAAATGAGGACAAAATATGTAGAGATGTCCTTAAAGCAGTTGAGGATTTGTCATGACCTATCAAATTGCATAGCCTTTCCATCAATTCCGAGAAATCATATTGGGACATGGAAATTATGGGCTAGGAATAATAAATAATTAATTGTGTACGTTTAAGGGCCTACTTAATTAGATTGATAAATTTCCCATCTATTATCCTCCAATTTAAAATGCTTCCTCGATCGATAGAACCCTGCCCAAATAAGGACGTTTCAGTGGAGAAGTTCAAGGTTGAGCCAAACATTTAATGCCTCCACCTTAAATGCCAGATGAAGATGATTTTTCAGTATTGACAGACTGGGAATAAGCATAATGCAGCATACAACGAAACAGTTTCTTCGCCAGTCGATTCTCCGCAGGCTGGATGGTCTTGTATCCCGACTCACAGACTATCAAGTGCTTAAAGGTAAACCAGCTCAAATAGCAGAACATGAGATTTCCAACATTTGTTGGCTGGTCAGCGAGGTATTCCTGGAGGACCCAGTCTTCATTGAAATTCGACTTACTCCTTCGCTTTACATAATTGGTGATATTTATGGCCAGTATTGCGACTTATTGAGAATATTCAACGTTCTTGGGCATCCTCCAAACCAGAAATATCTATTTCTCGGAAATCTGATAGACAGAGGAAGCCGATCAATTGAAACCTTGACTCTTCTAATGGCATATAAGCTGCTTTACCCGCATCATATCTATTTACTTCGCGGCAAACATGAGTGCGAATATGTTTCTAAGCAATATGGTTTTTATGAAGAATGTACCAAGCGTTTCTCCTGTCGATTGTGGCGTTCTATAGTCTCGGCTTTTGACTACATGCCATTAATGGCTAGCATTGAAGACCGTATATTTTGCTCATCTGGTGGACTCTCACCAATGCTAGAATTTTCCGGTGTAAGAACGCTAAATGATTTTAAGGTAAGAAGTAATTTTTAAAACTAAACAAAATGTTGGAATCATTTACGTATACTCCCTCCTTATATATCTCCATGGCTATTACCAATATATGTATAACTTCTAACTTAAGCCAGCTGTGCCCGAAATATATTAGCTTTGGAAGTAAATTTATACAGATACTTTGATAACATATTGCTAATTGTCAAGCAAAGACTTGGTAAAGTCTCTATTATTACTAATTATTTTTGGCATTAGAATTTTCGAGCTATAGGAAGATTTTACTTAAGATTTATGCACATGGACTGACTTCGCTTTAGCGTACCTGGTCTAACGGGGCTAAATCAATCACATAAGAGGGACGGCACAAGGAAAACAACAGTGTGGCAATTACATCTTGGTCGACACAGCTATAATTATTTAGCTTGGCTTTCTCTATAATAACTTTTAAAAAGGTATTTGTTCATGATCAAATGCCATATTAAAAATTATGCAAGACGTATTTTAAGCTTACAACAATGATATATTTTCGCTGGAAATCAGAAGATATATTATTTCGTTTTGAGCTTCTTGGCATTTCTATTGATACAGAAATTTTGAATCATTTCACACATTTTACTTTTTTTTCATTATTGCTCATCATTAAGCTCCTCTTTGCCTCGGGTTGTATAAGCGACTTGATACCAAAATGTGACTTGCCTTTTTGTTTCTAGCATAAGGCCGGTTCAAGTGTGAAGATGTTAATGTGGAAAAATGCTGGAAATGTAAATTAACTTCATTTGAAGCATATCTAGAGTTGCCTTCAAGTCGGGAATGTTGGTTTATAGGAATGAGCAATCATATTAACATCCTTCGATGTCAATTAATACGTGCTATGCATAACTCCTTCATTCAGCTGATATAGCCATAGTGATAAACTAACATTTACATATGAAACATCATTCCATTATACCAGAAACTTTGAAATGCTAAAAACATATTTTCGTCTTACATTTAGAATTCCGCTCATGATTTTGTTAGCACTTTCATGATTGCCCTATCTGCTTGTAGATGAGTATAGATATGCATCACAAAAATGCTTTGGCTCCTACAATTTTGTATGAATGCATATGCATTTTGTACGAAAAATGATAATCACTCATTTAAGACGTGAGATGGCAACAGTAATCAAGAGAAAACAATAATTTACTAAAAAGCGAATAGACCTTAAACTAAGAAAGGTGGCCGTTTGTCTTTATACTCGCTTCGTATGCATATCTTTACGATCTTAATGACAAGTCTCATGATTTGGTTGCCTACCTAATGCTTATGCAACAGTTATGCTAAAATTATGCATTAAGGAGATCCGAATGTAGTCTAGTATAAATAAGATGACGATTGATCCCGCAATGGTGATGCGTAACTAGGAGTGACTAGGAGACATTACGCAAGGTTGGAGCTTTTATCAGGTTCGAGTCTAATGCTATAATTAAACAGTTCTTCGAGCTACCTCCCTCTCACTCATTAAGCCTCGATAACTACAGTTATTTCCTATTCAATTACCTATATTCATTAACCCTATTCAGACTATTGGTTGTATCTACGCTCTTACGCTCCCCTTTTATTGAAGATCTGAGATTTGAAATATTATGTTTTTGTGTTTTATACCAGCCATGCTTACAGCCAGTTAAAAGTTCCTGACTCGTAAACTGATACAAGCGATTTTGTGCTCAAATAGTCTCTTATGGATGGATTTGAAGGTATAATTCTCATAGATGATATTACTTGCTCAAGGATTCTCGTCACGTTCTAAACTAGAGAAATAGACTGATAGAGGGTGTCAAAAACTTCTCAGAAAGGGATTATAAGTGCGGAATGGTTTAGTTTCGCCTTATGGATTAATCTGATGTCCTATTTCTTCAATAGTTTAACCACATTTTCCAAAAGCTGACTTGAAGGCAACATCAGAAACAGCCTAGAGTGCTCTGTCTGCCTAGCTCGCGCTAAATAGCTCTACTGACGTCAGTTGGAAAGTACTTTTCAATTAAACCTATCCAATAACTTTATTTGGCTAAAGTATTTATCGAGATTTTTATTTCCTCGATTTAATAACTTCTACTTTGATATCATGTAGGATTAGGAAATACATTAAAAAAGAAACTATTGTTTTGGTTTCATAAACACAACTGAACTCAACAAACTATTTGATCTGCTTACTAGGTTATCAAGTAATCACAGTGTAAAATTCGCATACAACTTTATAGTAGATGTAAATACACCAGCTATTCTATTATTTTGCTCAAAGAAATCTTCCATTGTTCTATGCTTTGCTGTAAGGCCACAAGGTAGTCGTCCGTATAGTTATTTAATAATTCAAGGAATAGGAGTTCTTGGATTAAAAGAACAGCAAATTGGGGCATTCAGTTATTATCTTCAATTGGAACAAGCAATTTGTCATAGAGGATAAATATGTATTATTCATTAGTAAACTATTCAATCTATTGATTAATGCTTTGTCTAACGTGTTACCTTCTAATATCTCAAGATGAGAATTTAATATAAGAAGAATATGCGGGTTTTGAAGGATTTTCTGAGATAAGATTAATGTTAAGATTTTCATTTAGTTTGAAAGTACAACGCGAATCTCCCGACGTCTACTGGTGAGATCGACCTAACAATTTCTTCATCATGTACTTACATACGAAATTAATTCTTAACATCAATAATAAATTAATGTAAATCTGTCGCCCCGTCCACATTATAAAAGTTAGAATGAACACTACCTCGAAACCTACCGTCATATTACCACCTTGATCAGCTGTCTATATAATAACCTATCATAGTCATAAGATTTTCCTAGTGAAAACTTACCTCTGCTTTAAATGGGAACAAGAAGATCGCTCAATGCAGCTTCCTTATTTACGAACTGCTATTCACTCTTTGTTATTTATACTACTCAATAATTGATGTACTTCAATATTATCGTGCATGTTTGCAAGCATTTAAATCTTGCAGCATATTTTCCACATGCTTTAGCTTATCAATAACAACAACTTCTCCATCCTTTAATTATTCTTAAGGTTGCTTGATCATTTTTCTCAACTTTCTTCATGATTGTATTGATCATCATATTATATTATGATGGCTATATGTAGATATCGATTAAATTAAACATTATTAACTAAAAATCGCAGGTTTACCACATTCTGGCAAAATATAGCAATCCTTTTCATCTCCATTAGTTGATACCTGTTCATTTCTCTTTAAACGGAAGCTTTTCTTCAAATTCTGTGTGTTTTTATCACAGCTTATCCTCTAATGTTATATAAATTAGGAAATACATTGGACTAACACTTTAGATTAGACTTCTATGGTTGATCCTATTTCTAATTAATAACAACACTATTTACTATTTTTCACAAATATAATATTTAAAAAATCGTAACCTTATTCCGCCAGCTATTAAGAAGTTTGATTTTAGTAAATTTGGTGTTAAAC